GTATGTTATTTGCTAATTATTTTAAAATTTAGTTAAATTTATAAATAATTCATTTTGTTATATAGAAAATGTTACGACGAGCAAAGGCCTTAAAATTCATTATAAACACCGATAATGATTTAATTAAAAAATATAAATCGGAAGAATTACAAGGTCTAATATGCTCTCGTGATATACACTCTCCAGAAATATCCGATACTGAAGATGAAGACAGAAATAAAAAGAAAATTATAAACTGTTATAATTTGCCCTGGAGGTCGGAGGAGGTATAGTGTTATAATCAGTTTAATAAAATTTATTTTTTTGTATATTTTCTTATTACTTTTAATATAATTAATAGCTAAAAGGGCTTCTAAGAAAAGTGCTAGATACAGTAGCACATCGCACAGCACCATTACACTGGGAAAAACGGTATAATGATAAAACCTATTATATTGAAAATCCAATATTTCCAATAGATGCTTCTGATTGGGCAGTTAAATCTGAATTTAGGATGAAGCACAAATGGCAAAACTCAGAAGTAGTAAATATTATAAAACGACAAAAAGTTGATAAAAAAACCAAGGATAATCATGAAAGCTTAAATATAGACGAGAATATTTAAATTGTTTTTTTATTATTTTATAAATTATCTTTATATATATATATATTGAATATATATATATCAACTTAATTATCATATATACTGTATTACTTTTTTATTTTTTATATTGTATATAAAAATTAAATCAAATTATTTGTAGTTAGGTTAAGATTAGGTGTAAAGTTGGGATTAAAGTAAAATTTAACAAGAAATTTTTGTTATTATATATATAATTTTAATTTATTTTTATTTTTATATATTATTATTGTCTGAAGGACATTATTTTACAACAGCAAGTCAGGGACTGTCAAAAATTTTCCGAAATTTATTTTACCAATCTTTAAAATTGACTAATCAGTATGCAAAAACAATATCACGTTACACCTAATTTCATATTCTGATTGGTTGTAATACATCACGCTATCACTATGCGACCAAAAAAATTTTCATGAAAAATATTTCTTGTAACTTGGTATCTTTTGCTTTTTAGCAAACACCTTATATTATATACTAAATAAAAAAATATGAATCTCTAGAATCAGACTAACCTTTTTTACAAAATTATATGAAAAAAAAAAGACATCACAAAGTTATACTTCAATCCCTGGCACAAGAATTTAGACAATTTGAATTTTAATGCAACAAAAGAATTAAATATGAACAAAATAATCAAAATTTGTCAAAATATTTTCAAAAATAATTAAAATTTGTCAAAAATTTTGCAAAAATAATTGAAATTTATCAAAATATTTGTAAAAAATAATTGAAATATCTTAAAATTATCAAAATAATATTTGACTGTCTCTGCAGCAAGTAATTATTTATATCACATGAAAATTCTGTCTATCTGTTTCCATGATGCTTATTGATAAGAATATATTGATCAATATCAAATATATAAATTTTTATATAATCTGGACTTATATTAGTTTTCCAGTTCCTATTTATAATTTTGTATATTGTGATAAAGGTATTAGATAGAGATTTGGTTATCA